TTTTTTTTTTTTTTTAAACCCATCGCCATCAAATTGATTCTGACTCATAGTGACTCCCATTTGGTTTCCAAGGCTGTAAATCATGAAAGTAGATTGAATTAGCTCTGGTGGCATAGTGTCTGCTAACGAGAAGGTCAGTGGTTCAAACCTACCAGAAGCTCTGCAGAAGGAAGATGGGGTGATCTATTCCTGTAACTATTTACAGCCTCGGAAACTCCATGGGGGTCATCGCTTTCAGTCTGAATGGACTGGATGGCAATGGGTTTTTTTTGGTTTATCCTCCCACAGAGCTCTGGTTTGCAGCCAAATGCCTTACCCACTACACCACCAGAGCCTCACTATATATCTCTGAATGCCTCCTAAGGAATTTCCTCAAATCTCTCAATCCACTAATCCTCTTTTCAAACATGTCTAACCAACTCTAAAACCCTTCTCTTGAGATTTTTATAGCAAAGACTATATTTTTTTACTTTGAGGATTTCTAATTTCTTTTGTACATTCAATGAAATTGATTGAATAAGCCTGATTCAATGAATTGTATATAAATTTTGGGGTAGAAAGTAAGCATTTAACAAACATTAGTACTTAGCTGTTTCCATAATGATAACTATCAGCTGTTCATACTGTCAGTCCTGCCTTTGGACATCAATGTCAAAATTTACCAGGGCCTAGGTCACAGGCTCCCTTCTTTCTAACAACTTCTGAAAGACATGCTTCATCTGTGACTTCAACCAGTAAAAGCTATTCATTCCTGAAAACTTACTTACTTATTTAATTACTGCAGTTCATATGTTTCTAGCCTGACGCAAGCCATGATATTTCCAATCGCCTCGTATGCATGTGAGAGCTGGACAATGAATAAGGAAGACCGAAGAAGAGTTGATGCTTTTGAGTAGTGGTGCTGGCAAAGAATGCTGAAAGTACCATGGACTGTTAAAAGAACTAACAGATCTGTCCTGGAGGAAGTACACCCGAAATGCTCCTTGGAAGTGAGAATGGCCAGACTTCATCTCACCTATTTTGGTCATGTTGTCAGAAGGGACAATTCCCTGGAGAAGGATGTCATGCTTGGTAGGGTGGACGGTCGACGAAAGAGGGGGAGGCCTTCAACAAGATGGATTGACACGGTGGCTGCGATGATGGACTCAAGTATAGCAGGGATCGTGGAGCTGGTGCAGGATCAGGCAGTGTTTCGTTCTGCTGTGCATGGGGTTGCTATGGGTTGGAAATGATTCGACAGCACCTAACAAAAATAACATATGTTTCTAGATTCCAGAACACCACAATTACTGCCCTTTTAGGAAGGCAAGGTTGATGTAACTGTTCTGAAAAGATACTCATAGCTCTCACACAACACCTGCTAATCTCTCTCCCTCCTATCATCCACTACATTCATGGAGGTTTTGGTTCTGAAGTAACCCAGAAACAACTTAATCATTTTCTTAGTACAATCATTAGTATTACTGAAACTACCTTAACCTATCTAATTTTGTAGGAAAGTTAGGAAACACAGGACAGATGTTCCCTCAGGCTCTGCTGCCAATACCCAAACTATTTTATTTCTAAAGAAGGCAATTTTGGAGACACACACAATTCCATGCTCTTCTTTTTAACCAGCATGCCTCTCTTTCACATGGAAATCCAAAGTCTAGCAAAGTCTGTGATAAGAAACGCAGAATGGGTTAACTCTCATAGCAAAATCTGTGTTCTAAGACAGCCAAGAAAGCAAAGGAATCACATAATACAAGATGGTCACGCTGGGACTCAGCAATGTTTAAGAAACAAAAACAGTGATCGAAGCAAAGGAAAGTCTGACTATAAAACATGTATGTATTTTTATACATATATATATTTAGTTCTTTTCTGCTATCCCATGCAGGGTAACTGAAGATATTATTGTTGTTGTTGTTATGTGCCGTTGAGTCAGACTAAACTCATAGTGACTCCTCCTTGGATTTCCGAGGCAGTATCACTAAGGAAGTAGATTGCCCAACCTTCCTTCTGAGGAGTGGCTGGTGGGTTTGAACTGCCAGCCTTTTGGTTAGCAGTCAAGTGCCAACTCAAAAACAGCATTTCTTTTTTACAGGGAGGTAGCCTCCGAGAAATACTGTGTGGTAGCTAAGAGCACAGACCCTGACCGACTTGAGTTTGTCTAGGCAAAAACAAATACTAGATGTAGAGTGAAGACAAATCATTTTATCACTTTGAGACACAAGGAAAAACAACAGTACTGACCTCTTTGTTATAAAAGATTAAATAACTTAGTATGCATAAAGCTTCAATAGGGCCTGACTCAAATAAGCACTAAACAAATGTGGCTGTTATAATAACAATAACACGGTTATTATGAGAATTAATCATTTAGTGAAGTGCCCAGGATGTGATAAGTGGCCATGCATGTTCTCACTGACATCAAGCCCATTCCTACTCATAGCAACCCCCGCTGGGTTTTCCAGGCTGTAAATCTTTATGGAAGTACATCATCTTGTCTTCCTTCTGCAGAGCTGTTGGTGGGTTTGAACTGCTGACCTACCAGTTAGCAGTCAAGAGCCACCAGAGCTCCATGAATGTTAAAAGTCACTGCTCTCGAGTCCATTGTGACTCACAGCTAAACTTCCTTGGGTTTTGAGGCAGTATCTCTATGGAAGTAGATTGCCCATTCTTCCTTCTGAGGAGTAGCTGATGGGTTTGAACCACCAGCCTTCTGGTTAGCAGTCAAATGCCTTAGGCACTACATCACCAGAGCTCCCCCATGCATGTTAAATAGCTATAAAAAATAATTATTATTTAAATTACATCCTGGTAGTACAATCACAGAAAAACAAAATTCTTTGCCCAACAGAGTTAAGTTTCAGAGGCCCAGTTTTACCTGACAACTGTGAACGTGGCAGCTATTACTGCCTCAATTCATACCTCTTGCTCCTCACAGTTTCTATGTTCAAAATCTGATACCACCATATGTAGTCAGATAGATGTGGAAAATTAATTTTCTACCTGTTTATTTATTTGTAAAATGGAGTAATAATTCCTTATTTGAAGGGCTATGTGTGAAAATTGAAAGAGCAACTAGCACCCGTAGACACTCCTCAGCCACCACTGTCTGTTAAGGAAAGCTAAGGGAATCCTTCTTAATAACCGGCTGTATGGTCTTGACAATCAATAAACTACATATTAAAAAAATTACATCGAGAGGTTAGTTGCATTTGGATTTTAATTATACCAGTGGGGTCAATGAAAACCTTCCCTTTCATTTTGTGTCATAGATACGGATCCTGAATAAACAAGATGTCTGTCTCTCTAGGTGCCTTTTGTGTGAACCCGGCAAAGTGTACTGGTCACAGAGCATTTCAATTCACACGTTGCTGCAGCTTGGGTTGACGCTTCCTGGCGTCCCAAAGCAAACGCCCAGAGGATGGAGAAAGGACCAGGCCCATCAGCGGAGGTAGTGGTCTCTGCAGGAGAGATCGAGTCCGGAATTCTGCATGTGCTTCACCCCTAGCCCTTAGTGTCAAAACGGATGCAATCCATCCCCCCTTCATCTACTACTTGGGGCAGTTTAAAATAAGATGCGCTTTTCTGGCCTTCCAAGCCTGAGCTGGTGACTAAGCAGCGCCTGCCTTCCCTAGTCCCTCTCCCAGGATAACAATGTTCTTGGGAAAAGAATCGTCGGAGCCCTCGCCTGGAATTGGGATAGTCATCCTAACGCCGGAAAAGACCTGTAAACCATCCTAAGGAAGGAAATCTGCTTCTCCACAAGGCTAAACGCTCAGGGTAAAGCGCTGCCATCACCGCCACGGACCAAGCTCCGGGCTGGAGCCCGCGAGCAGAACTCCGCGGATTTCGCGCGTCGCCCCTCAACGCCCCAGGGCCACCGGCTGGAGATCGCCACTTTCCTCCCTCCTCCCGAGCCCCTCACTCTGCTCACCCGCCTCTGCATCTTCGCTCCCCGCCGCACCAGGTGGCAGGCTTCAGCTTTAACTGCGGACCAGGGTAAGCGCGTTGAGCTCTCTGCTAGGAAGGTTAAGCCAAGCGTTTGAGTGGTTCTCAGATCGTCCTGCCCCACCCCTTCCGACCAACCATGAGCCCAGAGCCCAGCCTCCTACCTCCACAAAGGAATGGAGGCCGGGTGTGGAGGGTTTCGAATCTATTTGAAGACAATTAACGTTTACACAGTACTCATCCTTGCCTATGTTCAAAACGTGTTTCATTTTCCACTGTTTGCAGAAAATAGAGGAGAAAGGAAATGGGGGCGGTGGTAGGGGAGATGAATTAATTATTCGCATAACTTCGTTAGCACTTGGAGAAGTGGCAATTTCAACAGCAGTAGGAACATTTTTTGAGAAACTAAATGTCTGTTTCATTATCTCATTTGTTTAATTTAAGCAATGGACACCTTTTCTTTAAAAAAAATTATATTTATTAGTGTATCCACAATCATTATATATTCAAATAACCAATTCTGTAATGATCTCTCTTTTCGTATGACCTTTTTCCTTCAGCTGCCGTTGATGATGATGAATTTTCTTATTTTAGCAAGTTCCAGAGTTCTTGACTCTTAAAAAAAAAAAAAAGAAAGAACAATCAGAGCAATAAAATGTCCACCTCTTGAAGCCTTTTCTGTTATACTACCACCACCCTCTGACATGGTACAGGGACAGAGCCTTTACCATAAAGATTCATGGTGCATTCACTTGTCCAGAGTGCACAGCACAGCAGGGCACGTGGTCAAGAGTGGGTGAGTACCACATTAGCATATACTCTATTGAGACTGAAGGAGCTCTGGTTGCGCCATGGCTAAGGAACAAGACTGCTAACCAAAAGGTCAGCAGCAATTGGTGGGGAAAAAAAAAAAAAAAAACAGGCAGTCTGTTTCCTAAAGATTTAGGGCCTTGGAAACCTATGGGGTCGCTATGAATCAGAATCCACTCAAGGGCAGTGTTTTTGTTTTTGTTTTATTTCATTTTGAGAATGAAATAGAAAATTGTGAATGTTTATTTCCAAGTATAAGTTTTTCCTCTCAAGACCTTTACTTTTTTTTGCATATTCTTACACATTAAATAGGTGACAGCCACACTGTTATCTCACAGTCATTTTAGACATGAAAACTAAAGTGTAAGAATGTGAAGTGTCACACATTTAAGCAATGGGAAATTTAGTCTAAGAAGATTCTATGCAAATCCTGTTGCCACTGAGTGGCTGGGTTTTGAGCTCTCACTGGAATGAGTCTGTGTTCATATACCACCTCACTCACTGAATAAATTATGTTACATTGGGTAAGTAGCTGATTTATTTCATGGGCAGATAGAGGGGGGACAATGGAACATTTGTAGAACCAATTTCATAATCTCTTGCAAAGGTTAAATAAATAATACAGGTATGCTTTTTTGATGTCCAGGCAATATCCAGCCACATATATGTCTGTGGGCCAGAACACCCAAGTATTTGAGTGCTAGGATCCCAGGTCCTCATCTTGAGGTTGGAGCCCCGCTTCTGCTTGGCTGCTGCAGTTGTTGTGTATAGCCAGGAAGCCACCTAGTCTGTGGTGATGGAGGCCCAGAGCCAAACTCCCAATCCCAGTCCCCCTTGACTTCCACAAGTCACTGGATCTACTCCTCACACTTTGTTCAGTAAGGTCTCATATGGAGTGAGGTGCCAATGGAAAGTTATGCATACTGGGCTTCCCAGCCCTGATTCCCTAGCACTCGCCTCTATTGGCCTACACTGTCCCCTCCCCGGGCAGGTTCTCACAGGTCAGCTGGCCTTCCCTGGAACTAATTTAGCAGGAAAGCAGTGACAACCAGGCTTGAGCAGGACAAGGGCTCAACTGAGGCATCGCAGTGGGAGTTGCCCAGGCCATAGAGCAACCATAAGGCCCGTTCACCTGAAAGCCCCTGTGCCCAAGGACACAGGTGTTTACAAGATGTTCAAATCACATAATGTCTTATTGCACAGAGTATATAATGGCTGTTAAGTAAAGCATACCCGTAATTTTCGACACACACTATAAGCTTTCAGGAACTGTGACTATTATTATTTGTAATTTAGGCTTTAAAATTGCTATATACTGAACAAGTAATCCATGATTCCTTTTAAAAATTGTTTAGATAATGGATTCAACCTCTTAGCCAATCCTCTTATCTTGGACAATCTCTAAAATTTGCTTCTGGACTATCTTATCTACAAGCTAATTAAATTTACCCCTTCAACTCAGGCCTCAGAAAATTTTTAAAGACAATATCAGTAACTTAGGAAAGAAATAAACTTTCATCTAAAAACTTTTCCTTGCCCTCATTCAATCACTTTCACAGAGTGCCAATATCCACGTAACAGAAGGAGTTCCATGAGGAGAGGAAGAAATGGATGGCTGTAAATAAAATAATGAGTAGTTAATTAAAAAAAAAAAAAAAAACTAGTAACATGAAATATATATATATATATATATATATATATATATAGAAGAGACTCATGGAATGTCAAACAGGACACATAAGAGAAATTCCACTTATAAACTTATAATGAAATTAAGAAGATCAAAGAAAAAAAGGTAAAAGATGAAAAGAGAAGATCACTTACAAAGGAATCTTAATTAAAATGACATAAAGTGTCTCATGGCAGTGTTGGCTGCAAAAAGACAATGAATTAGTATTTTTAAAATGTTGAAGAAAAATAATTTTGAATTGCATTCTGTCTTTTATAAAAATAGCTACCATGGCATATGACAACAGCAGTGTATATTTAAAAGTTTTAATTTTAAAAAAATGTACTATTTATAGAAGAAAGTGCATACATCTTAAGTATGTGATTGGAATTGTCACAGAGTGGACATATCCTTGTAACCACAACCCAGACCAAAAACACTGAATATTAGTAACTTTCCAGCACCTGTCCCACCTTCTTTGCCCAGCCTTCCTGTCCACATCACTTCTGCCATTGTTTGTTAATAGCTCTTCTATTTCTAACACCAGAGACTAGGCTTATTTTTGAACTTCATGTATGGCATCATAGAGTATGTCTTCAATTGTGTCTGGTTACTTTCATTCAATAGTAAGTTTGAAAAATTTATGTTATTGCATGCAATATATGTAGTTCATTCAATTCTCATTGCTATATAGTACCTCATTGTATAAATACATCTCTATTTATTTATCTGTTTTACTCTTTATGGGCATTTGGTTTGTTTTCCAGTTTGGAGGAATTTTTAATTGTGCTGCTGAGCACTCTTGAACTTGTCTTTTGCTGAATATTTCTACACAATTCTGTTAGATAACATTTGATTTTTTTTCCAGGCATATCTTTTCCTATCCTTTTTTGAAAACCTTTTTCTATTGTTTTGCGCTCTTTTTTATTAATATTAGTTTGAAATGTGTTTTTAGTAGGTAATATTTCACTGGACTTTGATTTTTTCAAATCTGCTGACAGTCTCTCCTAGATTTTATAAGCATAATATTATAAAATAAAAGGATGAAATAAAAATATTCTCAAGCATATAAGCCTCAGACAATGTGTTACATTAAAACTCTTCTTTAAAATATTTTTTGGAAGACATATTCCAGTAAAAAGGGAAAAATGAACTTAAATTGAATGAAGACTTCTTAAGTAAGATTCCCAAACTCAAACTCTTCAGTGAAAAATTTATAGATTTAACAACATTAAAAGATTAACTATTTTTGTCCATTTAATGGTATAGCTGAGAATTTAAGAGTGATGCCAAGTAGGGAGAATAAATCTCTGGTAGCATAGTGGCTAAGACACTTGCCTGCTAACCAGATGGCTGGCGGTTCAAACCCACCAGCCACTCCTCGGAAGGAAGGTTGGGCAATCCTACTTCCGTAGTGATAACTGCCTCGGAAACCCAAGGAGGGGTCGCTATGAGTCGGGGCCGACTCGACGGCACATAACAACAACAACAACAACATAGTAAATAAAGAATATAGAATATAGAGAATTCTAGCTAATATAGACAACCAAACAGAAATCATGTGAGCATATGAAAACAAGAACTTCACAGCAGGGAAGTCTGAATGGATATCAAATATATAAAGATATGTTTATATTTATTAATAATCAAATACAATGCAAATTAAAGAAGCAATTTCGTTGTTGTGGGTCATGGCAGGATTTTGAGTCAGCAGTTGGGGATGAATAGAAACATTCAATGACATTAATATTATATAACTTCATTTGAACCCCCTAGTTTATGAAATTGGATTATATAGACAAATCTTTCATACACTTATTTGTAAATGTTTGTTGCTGCTACCCATCCATAATTTTATTTGGAAGGTTAAAACTTACATTTGAAATGTACCAAACCTAAAATCTTACCACTGTTGAGATGATTCTGATCTAGAGTGACCCTATAGGACCGAGTAGAACTGCCCCATAGGGTTTCTAAGGCTATAAATCTATGGAAGCAGACTGTCATAGCTTTCTCCTGTAGAGCTGCTGGTGTGTTCAAACTGCCAACCTTTTAGTTAGCAGGTGAGCACTTTAATCACTGATCCACCAAACTCCTTTTGAAATGTACAGTTACCAAAAAAGTCAAGCACATGCTCACCACATGTTTATGGGAAGAAAGTTGTCACCCATTAAGGTCTCCAAGTGAAAGTCTCATCTCCTGTGTTGGATTGCATATCTTCTTTGACCTAGAGAAAGTAAGAAGATGAGTTTATAGCCCAAACACTCCCTCTAATGGCATTGTAAGAGTATGCTATGAATAAAAAGTGATAAGATTCAGATTCTCTGTTAATAGGACTTTAGACCAGAATATCTTTTCGAAGGCCTAACTGTTAACCATTTGCCATCAAGTCCATTCCAATTCATAGTGACCTCATATGTTTCAGAGTAAAAATGGACTCCTTGGAGTATCAATGGCTGTGATCTTTCAGAAGCAGATTGTCAAGCCTTTCTTCTTATGCATCTGTGGATGGATTTGAACCACCAACCTTTCAATCAATAGTAGTGCTTTATCATTCATGCCACTCAGGGACTCCCCTTCAGAGGCATAGTTC